TTCCATCTCTCATTAATCCCATTTGCTTGTGGATGGTATATAATACTATGTACTTGTGCAATATTCAAGAAGCTTGTGAATGCCTTTGTTAATTTGGCTTTAAACTGTGTTCCATTGTCTGATAAAATCGTATCAGGAAAACCGAATCTTGTGCAAACACCCATCACAGCATCACATATAGCTACAGCTGTAATCTCTCTAAGTGGTATTGCCTCTGGCCATCTGGTTGCCCAATCCACTAGAGTTAATATGAACTTGTGGCCCAATCCACTATAGTTAATATGAACTTGTGGCTTTTGGAAGAAGGGTGTTCCATAGGTCCAACTATGTCCACTGCTACTTTTTGGAATGGTCTTGTAACTCTATCTGTCTGTTGTAGAGGTGCATTATGTTTCCCATCAACAGGATTGAGTCTTATGCATTTGGTGCATTTTTGTATGTGTTTCTTCATGTCTTCCTTCATTAAAGGCCAGTAGTAATCTTCAGGTATTCTCTCAAATGTATTTTTTTCTGCCATGTGTGCCCCCAATGGACTGTCATGTGCTTGTTGTAATATCTTTGTTCTCATAGTTTGTGGCACCACTATCTGAGTCTTTTCATTATTCTTGTTATCAATATATTTCCTGACTAAAACATTATTTTCTTTAGTGTACTTAGATCCCCTGATATTCATGTTACTTGTATTGATGTTTTTCAGTATATTTTAGAGAGTATTGTCTTCTTCCTGAAGTTTTATCCATTCATTTATATCTTCTATTAATTCTGTGTTGCTTTCCTCATTATCCCCACTTGCCTGATTTGATTGTTTCGGTGCTCTTGTCTCAACCGCTGCTCCAATTTGACTTTCCCATCTATCTATATCTTCCTCATTACTTTCTTTCACCTCCTTTGCATTCCCAATAATCATATCTGCTATTGGTTCTTCCATGGCCGCCACTTTATATTTACCTTTCAGCCAAGCAGAATCTATATCAACTACTGCTATCTCACACTCATCCTTATATCTCTTGTTGGCATATGTCATCTTCATTATGCCAGGAATGTACTGTTCTGGTCTTACAAGACTTTTCTTAACAATAATGTACGTGCAACCTGAATCTCTCAGGCACAATACTCTGAAGTTGTTTACTATAGCTGGCAACTTCTTCAGTGTTGTATTGCTTTGTCTAACAGATGCCACCGTCTCTGACCCTTCTACCCCTGCTGATGTCTCTTGATTGTTATTTCTACTATTTCTGTTTTCTCCCCTGTTGTCGGGTCCCATTCTTGGCCGTCTACTTTGATTGTGGAATTCATTTCTACTTTGTCCACTATACTGTCCTTGTATGTAATAATTACGTTGATTTATGTAATTACTATTAGGTGCATAACCTCCTCTGTCATTATTGCTGAGATATGTATCTCTATTTTGTAAGCTGAAACACTCAGACTTTACATGGCCTGTTTTCCCACAGTGGTAACACTCTATGCTTCTGCTATATTTATATCTGTCTGGTTTCCATCTGGTAGGTGCACTATTACTTCTATCTCTATTGTTGTTGCCATAAACTTCTTTGATAACTGCCAGAGTTTCTACTGTAGACTGCTGCTGAAATCTCTCCCTGCTCTCTTTTGTCCAAAATAGCCCCTGGATGTGCATCCTTATAAATATTAAGTTGCTCTATTAATTGTTTCTGTGTCCTAACATTTCTTTCACTCAAAAAAGAGAATAAATTATCTGTTGCATTATTTAAAACATGATCTATCAGGTAAAGTTCAATAATTGCCTCAGGATTCTATAAATCTATTTCTGCCAATTCTAGCCTTTTATTCATGTGTTTGCGAATATCAAAAATGATCTGGTTTATGTCACCAGTGTTGTTAATTCTAGGATCTCGTATAGTCTTCCTGTAATAGTCTTCTGTCTTTCCAAAATGTTTCATCAATCTTTCTTTTACTAGGTCATAGTCTTCTTTTTCAGCCTCAGACATACTTGCTATTATGGCAATGGTCTCTCCTGTCAAATAAGTCAATAAAGCTTGTGCCTTCCCAGCAGATGAATAATTAAAACTCTTACATGTTTGCTCAAAGTGTATTAAGTAAGTTTCCACACTTTCTTCCTGTGGTTTAAATGCTCTGAATTTAGGATTCCAATTGTCCGTTTTGTTAACATTGCTGTCTTGAGATTGGTTACTTTTAATTTTGGCTAATTCTAACTCATGTCGCCTCTGATTTTATCTATCTTCTAGATGTAATTGTGTCTGTTTTTCTTTGTCTTCGGCCTCTATTTTAACTTTTTCCTTCTCAGCCTCCATTTTAACTTTTTCCTTCTCAGCCTCTATTTTAGCTAGATCTCGTTCCTTATCAGCCTCTATTTTAACTTTTTCCTTCTCAGCCTCTATTTTAGCTTTAACTAATTCCCTCTCTAAAGCTCTGTCTTCCCTTTCAATTGCATCAGCTATCTTCTTTTCAACCCATTTAGCCTTCTCTGCCCCAGTGTATCCTAACGAATCAGCCAAGTCAATGAATTTTGCATATTTCTCCATCTTAATGGTCCAAAAAAAATTATTCAGTTAATAAAATCACAAAAATGTCAACAATACTCAATCTAAAATCTAGACTAGATGTTATTCGTTCCTTTACGGTGCGGAGCACCGCTCACTTCTGACACCAAAATGTCACAGGCTTTTCTCCTACCTTTACATGGCACACACTCAAAAAAACAAAAATCAACCCTTGTTCATGTAATTTCCATAACTTTATTGGTTCAAAAGAGCATCGCATTCACCTCCAGACATCGCCATGTTGTTCGCGCCCTATCTACCTCTCGCTTCCTTTCCTTTCGCGCATGCGCACACCCACACTATATTTTATATTTTATCTCGCCTTTTTAATACACACACTCGCAACATACATTCATATACATTTAACTGTTATACCATTCATATGCCGAAATCATAGAAACAGGTAAACTCTACTTCGCTTGCCACATCGATGGCCAGATTTGAAAGGGAACTTTACTTTTTCTCTTATAGGCCTACTTGCATACATCGCACCTTCTTATTATAAATAAAGGATTTAGTTTATTTATTTATTGCCATTACGGTCACATTCGTCACCAAAAGAACATTAAAAATACCATATACATGCACATTTCTAAAACGTTTTAAACTGCTCAATGTCGAAATTTATTTAGGCTTTGAATGTGAGAAAATTATATACGAAGATAAATATTGATAGTAGTAAGGTGGATAAAATTAATTAATTAATTTTTTTACATTTTTATGGTAGGGGAGGTAATTTTTTTAAACTACTCTGTCTACGTGATAATTAAGATAAACGTCAGGACCGTGTTATCGTAACAGATAATATCTTAAACCTACAACATCAAAGTAATGTTTTACCTAAATGCATTTCACACGGTTTAATTATAACTCTGCTATCATATGGCCAATATTGGTATACTCTAAAACTCAACTAAGCTGCTGACCAGAAAGATGCGCAACGGAAAATTGCGCAATGGAAAAAAAGCTCAAACAGGAAAAAAGCGCAAATATATATATATATATATATATATATATATATATATATATATATATATATATATATATATATATATATATATATAGACGTTTATATTTCATTCTCATTCCTCTATATTTAATTAAATTTTTAAAATGCATAGAAACATAAATTGCTTATATTTTCCCATCATACATACATGGATGCTGTTGACCAAAATTGCTTCGGCCATAGATCATTGGCCCACTCGTTGACAACAGCGTAGGGTTGTCCACAGGCAATTTGTAAAATAGGACTGTGCAATCACAGATGATATAAGCAGACTTGTTTTGAACGACTACGCCTACGCCTACACCGACAGACCGACCCTCACACCCGCCTGACTAAAGAAGTGTTTGTTAACTTTATGATTAAAACCGGCACTGTACTTAGGTCAAAATCACGACATTCATTCAGATGGGTGACTTTGTAGCAGCAGAACGAACAACATTTTTTCCCCAAGAATTTCTTCACATACTGAGGTCTCTAGTACACTGAAGTCACGCATTAGGTGGAGTTTCTTGCAAGTTATTACATGAACTAACCATCCGTCAATTTTGCTTATTTTTCGACATGTTCAAATGGAGGTGCCGATATTTTTGCATGAAATCGCAAATTTCTCTTTTAGTTAACCGAAAAGCTGTTATTTCAATGACAATAGAATTTGATATTTTAGATGTATGGACGGATATTTTGGTATAGGCCAGATGGTCTAGTACAGGGGTCTCCAAACTACGGCCCGCGGGCCGGATGCGGCCCGCGAGGTTCTCTTATCCGGCTGGCGGAGATCTTTTTGTTCACGGAAAAAGATGTTTGTTAGAAATGGCTGAGGAGCTTTGCCCAGAAAATTCAAAACAATTAGAAAATGTAGCTTTGGGTGCAAATACCATTGCCCTCCGTGTTGCAGACATGGATGAAAACATTGTGACTCAGATAGTGAAAACTGCTAACAAGACTTCCAGCTGCAGTTTCAGTAGCGGTTTTCTGACTAGGAATCAAAGGCAGAAGTAAGACTGTTTCAAAACCCATCTAAAGCAAATGAAACCGGTTGCCAAGATGAACTCCAGATGCAGGTCATTGAACAGCAAGCAAATTACCTCCTTAGAGACAAGTTCAAAAAATGGTGGGTTTTTGTGTTTGCCCAAGGAGAACATACTTGGACCTCGAGTGTGTTGTTGGCCCCTGACAATGTTTTTTTTTCTCCAGGGTAGGGGGGGTGCATTTGAAATGTGTATATATTTCTATATAAATTATATTTCGTTGGGGGGGGGGGGGGGGGGTACGGGGATAACACCACCCCAAAGAGATACGTGGAAGAAACTCTGCCCCCCCCCCCCTCCCCGAACGGATAATTGATAGTTAGTGCAGCCCTCGGGCTGAAAATTTTGGAGACCCCTGGTCTAGTATATAGTATAGTATATGTACTATGGTCATTCACAAACAAAAACCAACTCTTCAGACAAAATCTGAATTTTATTTTATTGTGTAGTTACACGTACACAAGTTAGCCAATGACTGCATTGAATCAGGTCGCTTTTGCTTTTGCTGGTGATTTGTCCTGGCAATAATCACCGGACCAACCGTCCACACACGCAACACATTTTCCATTCTCGTGGTAGCACAGCTGATCAAGGCAGTTGACAGAGCATTTCTTGGCACAGTTCTGACCGTAGAAAGTTGCTGGGCATTCTGTGTTGACGAGACAGAATATGGTGACACATCCAATTTCATTGAAACAAGCCAGAAATGTTTTAAAATAAATAACATTCATTAAACATATGTTTTAAAATGTCAGACGGTTATTACCTTCATTGCACAAACGACCTTGAAAGCCGGGCTTACAAATGAGGCAGTCACCCGAGACGGGGTCACAGTCACGGTCCAGGCAGAAAGCTGAGCATTTACTTTTGCAGTCGGGGCCATAGTACCCGCTTTGACAAGCTATTTAATATGCAAATTTTAAGAACATCAGCAGTAGATCGGCGACCAGTTTTGTTTTTAATATGCACATGTGTAGTATTTACATTTATCTAAACATATATGTATGTAGATACATATGTATATATATATATATATATATATATATATATATATATATATATATATATATATATATATATATATATATATATATATATATATATGTAGATACATATGTAGATACATATGTATATATATATATATATATATATATATATATATATATATATATATATATATATATATATATATATATATATATATATGTTTGTGTGTGTGTGTGTGTGTTTAATATTGAGCAACTCACCTCCACTGATGTATATAGAACAGAGTGACTTCACAACGCCCCCTGACAAGACAACTAGGTCTACAGTTGAAGTCAGATCACAGCTTATGTCAACAGTTCGATCGTTGACCCGTTCATATTTCATACCGTTGCACTTGATCACAGATGGCGCCTCGGGATTTTCAGAGTTGTGGAAATACACTCTCAAAGTGTGTGATGGTTCTGCTAAAACTAGTATTTAAATATTCATTAGGTGCTATTGTTGTATAAAAACGTAACTTTTTTTACGTACAAAATACAATTCTAGTTCTAGCCTTGATACTTTTCGAAAAAAAACTTGATTATATATAGTCTAGTCAGATTGTTGAACATAGAAGTAGCAAAAATTAATGAAACCACACCATTAGCACATCACACCTGGGCCCATCACACCTGGGTCAAACACACCTGAGCCCATCAAATCTTGGGCCATCAAAACTGGGCCTACTACACCATTATCCCAACACAACTGGGCCCAAACCAACTTGGCCCATAACACCTGGGCCAACCTAACTATTAGCCAACCACACCTGGGCCCTACGCACCTGGGCCCAATACCCCGGGACCCAACCCACCTTTGCCATTCGCAACATCAGAGACGAGTCTAAGCCAGTGAAACGGGATTTGTCTGTGCAAGTCTACGATGGCAATATCCACGTCTGGGTTGCACGTGCTGTCATTGCCGTCTAGGAGTATGTCTGATGGATTTGAGGCCAAGTCAACTGGAAAATAAAACACGTGCAAAATCATTAAAATATATAATAATTGGATCTTAAGAATTGGATGACTATTTGTTATTACGCCCCTTTGCCTTATTGTGTTTATAAATCTATGCTAATACTAATTACCATTTATAATTTAAACCAGCATTTACTTATTTTAATTTAATATTTTATAATTGGTTCAGGCAATTCAAAAGGATCAACGGCGGTGGTGCTTCAAGGGTAGACCAAATAAGCAACATGCTAATATCCTCTAACTGACTTTTGAGGAAATAAACATTCCTTAAGTACAGTGTTTATTTTTTGGACAGCCAATGAGAGGATATATGCACCTTGCGTATTTACCTCATCGTTGGTCGCAATAAGCACTACCCTTATTTAGACATTGAACAAAAATTCACTCAGCTTAGCTTTAAAGCCGACACCTTCTACATAGCCTCGATATAAAAATCCCCGAAATATTGCATTATATAAAATCAAACTTTTGATAAAAAATTCTAAAAATTAGCATGACTATAAAAAAAAAAGTTAAATATAGATAACCGTTGACCGAAATAAGCAGGATATTTTTTTCGTCGTCCTGTACGATATAAGTTTTTCCATCAGACACATAAACATTCTACGTTTAGTTCATCCATCACATAATTATCAGTGACCTTACCATATTGACGTGCTAAGAAGGAAGAAATGACGCTGGGTGGGGCACACTTTGCGAAACGTTCATTCTAATGTGACACACCAGGCGAAGGAGTGGAACCCCCAGAGAAAGCGAAAGAGAGAGGGCCCAAGACAGAACTTTGTTCTTGAAGAACTGAATACGGAATGGACGTTTAGAGAGGTTACAAAATTAACAGCCGGGGACCGAACAAAATGGAAGGTTATGGTTGAGGCCATATATTCTACAAGGACTGAAGAGTATTCAATTTAGTTACCATATTGGTGTTAAGATGATTAAAATTAAGTTACCATATTGGAGTTTAGAGAATTAAAATTAAGTTAAGTTACCATATTGGAGTTTAGAGGATTAAGATATGTTACCATATTGGAGTTAAGAGGATTTAGTTAAGTTACCAAATTGGAGTTTAGAGGATTAAGATAAGCAGAGGCGTAGCGAGGGGGGGAGGGGGGGGGGACATATGTCCCCGGGCGCTGACCTTAGGGGGGTGCCAAATTGAAAATTTGAGAGGGGGGGGTGTAAATGAAAAGTTCGAGGGGGGTGCAAATAGAAAGTTTGAGGGGGGTGCAAATGAAAAGTTCGAGGGGGGGGTGCAAATCGAAAGTTTGAGGGGTGGGGGGGTGCAAATGAAAGGTTCGAGGGGGGGGGGCGCAAATCGAAAGTTTGTCTCCGGGCGCCGGGAGGGGTCACTACGCCTCTGAAGATAAGTTACCAAATTGGAGTTTAGAGTATAAAGTTAATTTACCATATTGGAGTTTAGAGAAGTAAATTACCATATTGGAGTTTAGAGGATTAAGATAAGTTACCAAATTGGAGTTTAGAGTATAAAGTTAATTTACCATATTGGAGTTTAGAGAAGTAAATTACCATATTGGAGTTTAGAGGATTAAGATAAGTTACCAAATTGGAGTTTAGAGTATAAAGTTAAGTTACCATGTTGGAGTTTAGAGAATTAAGTTACCAGATTGGAGTTTAGAAGATTAAGTTAAGTTACCATATTTGAGTTTAGATATTTAAATTACCATATTGGAGTTTAGAGGATTAAGTTAAGTTACCATATTGGAGTTTAGAGGATTAAGTTTAGTTACTATATTGGAGTTTAGAGGATTAAGTTAAGTTACCAAATTGGAGTTTAGAGAATTAAATTACCATATTGGAGTTTAGAGGATTAAATTACCATATTGACACCTGCTACCGAACCAGCCTTTTTCACAATATGATCCGTTGAGACAGTGACCAGTTTCATTACATTTTTTGTCCTCACAGTGGCAATTAAAGGGGACATTGAGTATGTCCCCAACTTTGAGTGGCGCGAATTTAGTTGGAGCCTTGTTACCTATTGTAAGAAAAAAATAGAGAGATAAATTCACACAAGAATGAAGTAGGCCTATAACATTGCGTGTTCATCCCTTTTTTAAATTAAAAAAATGGTTAGCCAGGTCAGGTCGGTTAAGCTCATGGTTGCTAAAAAATTCCCCAGTTCGAACTTTCGGTCAGACAGCAACTCTTCTAGGGAAACATTTCCAAAATCAAACAACTTGTTCTTGGTTGGACATATACTATGAAAGCTAATCAAAAAAGAAAAGCAGGCTGAATTTGGTGTCTTATTTGAAATTTTGGAAGGGAATTTTCCCCCAACACAATTAAGATTTCTTGTCAACGTGTTATGCGCCGTATAGACCGTTGACTCCGTTTTCAGCCTGCTTTTCTTTCTGGAATAAATGTATTACATTTATTTGAAAATTCAATAAATGTTTTTAGTTATTTAACAAAGGCTTTCGTAATAATATATTTTATCCAATATCTAAATCAAAATTACCTTGAGCAGTAAACACCAACATACAGCAACACAAAGTAAGTATTAGAGTCATGTTTCCCATTTTCAAATCGCGTGCTTTGTTCAAAGCATATGATAAGGGATTCACACATAGAGGCCTGATTTATATCTTCAAACTACGGATTTTAATTTTCTTTTTATGGGCAGAATTATAATGAGGGAAAATAAAAGCAATGCAGTAAATAATATTACCGAATCAGGAGCGAATTAAACTTGAGTGGGATCCCTGGTTAGATAGTTTCGGGGGTCTTATTTCTTTGTGTGTCTCCCAAGCAAAGATATCATTCAATGCCAACACAACAAAGTTGCCGATTGAAAGTCTAATGCATTATAATGCATTATTATCTTTCGGCTATAGCTTTATCATTACATTTTGTTATTTCTATTAGGTTCCATCAATTGTATCATTTTTTATTCAAATTTCTTACAGGGATCTGTTGAAGATGGGGAAGGGGATGGTATGCTATTTGCAGTGTTTTAAAATGGTTACTGCTAGAAAGATGTAAACGAAAAAAAAGAATGCAAAATCCAGACTAATTTTTCTTCAGAGGTGTATGCGTGAGAAAAATGTAAAATCCAGAATTATTTTATCTGAGATGTGACTCTTAATAAAAACTTGTTTTAGAGGGAATCCCTTTCAACTAGTAAGTTAAGAATATGGAAGAAAAAGAAGTGGATATTTTGAAAAAGCACTGACCACCTTGAAAGTTCACAGAGACAAGCATTCAAGAATTATGTATAAGAAATTTTTTTAATTTCTAATTGTACATTACGAGCATACACAAGGTTGAGTTAATGATCTAAAGCCTTTTGAATACTTTTACTATGTTAGACGCATAAAAGTAAGTATTAATCAGCAAAAAAAGACTGAAAACAATTTTGGATGTCACTGAAACCCGAAAAAACCTCCGCCATTTTGAATTTTCAGTACTTTTAAAAACGATAGGCCTTTTTTGTTAGCAATCAAATGTGTACAACTTATATTTCAGTATATATTAAAACTTTTGTCACGACAACTTTTTGAAAGAGATCCTGGTCAGATTTTTACAAAGTCTGAAAAATAGTACCCTTTTTAGCATTCAAAATTTTCGAAATTTGCAAAAAACGTTTTTTTCTATTAAAGCCATCACAATTCCCTAGTGACAAAAGTTTTATTTCTGCACGAAGAACAATTACTGAAAATATAGTTGGCATTGTTTAAAAAATAAAAATAAAAGTGGTAGGCTTTTTAGTATTAAAAAGTGCGAACTGAGAGAAACAGCAAAATGTAACAAAAGTGGGTCACGAAATTAAAATATCTGTAATTTGTAAAGCCGATTGTAAGCTTTGAGTGTTTCCGAGATTACTAAAAAATTCGCTTATCAAATACATAAGAAAAGCAGCTTTCCCGTGATGCCAGATACAATATGGTGACTGATATAAAACGTTTCATAGAGACTTTTTAGGATTAAGAAAAAATTATTCTTTTTTTAAATAATAGGGTCATAAAAATGGTATTTTAAAGTCATTTTTTTTTGTTTCATTAAGTCTATTATTTTCTTAATTCAAAAATGGACATAGTATACAAAAACTGCAAGAAACCCATCATGGCGAAAAAAACAAGATTTTTAAAAGGAGCATATCCCCTTAACTTCAAGGCCAGTGTTTCTTTCAGACTTTTTTCTCCGGAGGTGGGGGGCACTTGATATTTGGGTGTGGGGCGGAATAAATATTCCACGGAGAGCGGTTGCTGATAAAAGTATATATTTTCTTTATCAATTCCGTTTTTAATTGTTGTTGTCCTTGTCGACGTCGTCGTCGTAGCCCCCCCCCCCCCCTCCCCCGAATGAATGCCTGGAAAAAAATCTCTGTTCAAGGTTTTTATTTTTAATCATACCAATATATAGAATTCAATTTATTTTTTTGCTTTTTATTGCATTTTTTAAATTGGAAATTTTTAATGTGATTGTGATTATAATAAAAGCCTATAAAAAGACAACGCAATTGAAAAATACAATTAGCTAGACAATAAATAAGAACAGATTTATTGTGATAATTAGAACATTAAAAATAATTTACCATATTGGAGTTTAGAGGATTAAGTTAAGTTACCATATTGACACCTGCTACCGAACCAGCCTTTTTCACAATATGATCTATTGAGACAGTGACCAGTTTCATTACATTTTTTGTCCACACAGTGGCAAGTAAAGGGGACATTGAGTATGTCCCCCACTTTAAGTCGAGTGATTTTAGTTTGAACATTTTTACCTATTGTAATAAAAAAAAGAGAGATAAATTCAAACAAGCATGAAGTAAGCCTAAAACATTGCGTGTTCATCCCTTTTTTAAATTAAAAAAACAAATGGTTGACAAGGTCAGGTCGGTTAAGCTCATGGTTGCTAAAAAGTCCCAAATTCGAACCCTCAAAAAGATGAGCCTCTATAGCTGAGACAGCAACTCCTCTAGGGGAGACATTTACAAAATCAAACAACTGCTACTTGTTCTTGGTTGGACAAATACTATAGAATCTAATCCAAAAAGAAAAACAGGCTGAATTGGAGTCTTATTTGTAATTTTGGAAGGGCATTTTCCCCAAAACAATTTAGATCACATGTATGCGAAAGAAGGATGCAAAATCTGGACTAATTTTTCTTGAGAGTTGTATGCGTGAGAAATATGTTAAATCCAGAGTTATTTTAGATGAGAGGTGAGTCAGGACCTGATTGGACCTCAACGTAAGTTGACACGTAATACTTGTGTTAAAAGGAATCCCTTCCAAATAGTAAGTTAACAACAAGGAAGAAAGTTCACAGAGACAAAGACTCAAGAATTATGTATAAGAATTTTCTATTTCTAAATATACATTACTCTACAGGCGTACAAAAGTATGAGCTAGCCATACTATGTTAGACAAACCACCCCACCGCCCCCTCCACCTCCCCAGTCTATACCCCTCTTTAAATTATCAAGATCGTAACCTTGCCACTAACCCTATTAGTATCCCTCTCTCCCCATATAAAAATTTGCGCACACAGAAAACTACCTACAGATCGCACAACGTCACAAGAACCATGTGCGTGAAGAAATTATGAACGACAACCACGCCACAGCAATAAAGATTTTAAAAAATATGCTGACGTTGGTCACGTTTCGAGGTCAAATTTACCTAAAATTATAAATTTGGTATCAAGGAATAGCGCCAAATGAATTCTTCGTGATGTTAATTCAATTATGTTTTTATCACCTGAGAAACACCACTTTTTAAACATTAAAATTAATTAACTAAAGCTATTTACTGGTATGACTAAACATAAAAAAACTGGGCGCGCAATGACAGAAATTGACCATAGGTCTTAATTTATGTTATAAAACGTAAACCTATCAATTAACTTCAAGGCCAGTGTTTTTATTTCAAGCTATCTCTCCGGGGTGCGGCTATTGATATTGGGGAGGGAACTAAATTTCCCGGGGGGGGGGGGGGAGGACACTAGTTTAATTATTTATTTACTATGTAAATCCCCCCCCCCCAAGAGATATATAGGTCTATATTATAGCACTCAAATTATTTTTTGCTTGTAAGTGCATTTTTATTTGGGAATTTTTTATGTGATTTATGATTATAATTAATTGAAGCCTTTCAAAAAGTAAATATAATTGAAATCACAATAAGCAGGACAATAAGTAAGTTCAAAATTATTTTGCTGAGTATTTTGAAAATGATTTATTGGCATCCTATTTAATTACCTCACTGTCACCTGTTTGTTTTGTTTGATTTTTCGACATCATGTTATGTTATGTTATGTTATGTTATGTTATGTTATGTTATGTTATGTTATGTTATGTTATGTTATGTTATGTTATGTTATGTTATGTTATGTTATGTTATGTTATGTTATGTTATGTTATGTTATGTTATGTTATGTTATGTTATGTTATGCTATGTTATGCTATGCTATGCTATGCTATGCTATGCTATGCTATGCTATGCTATGCTATGCTATGCTATGCTATGCTATGCTATGCTATGCTATGCTATGCTATGCTATGCTATGCTATGCTATGCTATGCTATGCTATGCTATGCTATGCTATGCTATGCTATGCTATGCTATGCTATGCTATGCTATGCTATGAAGAAACCCATCATGGCAAAAAAAAACAAGATTTTTTATAAGGAGCATATCCCAGTGTTTCTTTCAGACTATTTTCTCCGGAGGTCGGGGGCACTTGATATTTGGGTGTGGGGCGGAATTCCGTTTTTAATTGTCGTTGTCCTTGTCGTCGTCGTCGTAGTCCCCCTCCCCTCCCCACGAATAGATGCCTGGAAGGCTTTTATTTTTAATCATACCAATATTTAGAATTCAATTTATTTTTTGCTTTTTATTGCATTTTTTAATTAAGAAATCTTTATTGTGATTATGGTTATTTAAAAAAAACTAAAAATAGACAACGGAATTGAAAAAATACAATTATCAAGACAATAAATAAGAACAGATTTATTGTGATAAGTATTTTGAAAACGATTTAAGGTAAAGGTAAAGGTAAAGGTAAAGGTAAAGGTAAAGGTAAAGGTAAAGGTAAAGGTAAAGGTAAAGGTAAAGGTAAAGGTAAAGGTAAAGGTAAAGGTAAAGGTAAAGGTAAAGGTAAAGGTAAAGGTAAAGGTAAAGGTAAAGGTAAAGGTAAAGGTAAAGGTAAAGGTAAAGGTAAAGGTAAAGGTAAAGGTAAAGGTAAAGGTAAAGGTAAAGGTAAAGGTAAAGGTAAAGGTAAAGGTAAAGGTAAAGGTAAAGGTAAAGGTAAAGGTAAAGGTAAAGGTAAAGGTAAAGGTAAAGGTAAAGGTAAAGGTAAAGGTAAAGGTAAAGGTAAAGGTAAAGGTAAAGGTAAAGGTAAAGGTAAAGGTAAAGGTAAAGGTAAAGGTAAAGGTAAAGGTAAAGGTAAAGGTAAAGGTAAAGGTAAAGGTAAAGGTAAAGGTAAAGGTAAAGGTAAAGGTAAAGGTAAAGGTAAAGGTAAAGGTAAAGGTAAAGGTAAAGGTAAAGGTAAAGGTAAAGGTAAAGGTAAAGGTAAAGGTAAAGGTAAAGGTAAAGGTAAAGGTAAAGGTAAAGGTAAAGGTAAAGGTAAAGGTAAAGGTA